AAAAGAAAAAATCTAAATCTTGCCAAGGACTGAGCCGTAATGTACGTGTGGGCTGTCACAAAACGGGCCTTTAATTTCAAAGACCCAGATCTTAGGCCCATAAGTATTTAACATGGGCCATCAAATGTTTAGGCCCATAAGTATTTAACGTTTAGGCCCATGGGCTCAGTTTTGTTAACCATTTAGTGGACTACAGTTGGACGGCGAAAACGACGTCGACTACGGTACATGCGCACTATTTGTATGTGGGCCCCGCAGAATATTCTCAAAATTCTCTGCGATTCCTCATCATCTATCAGTCGCACAACCATGCAGTGGGCCCGCTTAGATAGAAAGGGAATTTTATTTTCTTTTAAGTTCTAAAAAAAATGGTTCTTAAAAGGAAACCACCTTCGAGGAATTAATAATAATAATAATAATAATAAATGGAGAAAAACATGTCATTAAAAAAAATAAATAAATAAAAACTTATTTTTTCGTCACATTTTTCAAATATATATTTTAGCCCATGTATTTTAAAAAATATACCGTTACAAAATTTTAAGAAATTCAAAGGAACTAGCTATAATGGTTATATTTCGATCCAAAATTGAAAATAAGAGAAAATACAAAAAAAAAAAGTTAAAAAGAATATATATCAAAAATAAATATTTTAAAAGTTTAGGGATAGAAAATGAATTATAAAAAAAATCTCTAAAATAGTATTTAAATTTAAAAAATAAAAATAAAAATAAAAGAATGAATATTAATATTCATAAAATCTAGGCAAGAAAGTAGGAAAATTAAAATTATATTAGAAGATGCATAGATCCACATCTCATTAAATTTAGAGAAAGAGAGAGAGATATACAAAATCTCCATTTGGCAATTGGTTACTATGAATATGCAATCCAATAATACCTCAAATTCCTCCTAAACTCTAGAAGGTTGATATCAATTTTTGATGCCAAATCTTAATAATATTGTTCATTTAAATATAAAATAAATTAAAATCGCATATTCAAATTCTAAAAGTGTCATATCAATTTTATACTAAAAAATATACACAAATATATAAAATTAATTAGAAAAAGAGAGAGAGAGAGAGAAGAGAATCAAATTCATGTCAATTTTCTAATATTAATCCCATTTTGCTAAGTGTTGGCTTTGAATGAATCGAAAAAATAAGAATTTAAGGGTAGAGAGAGAGAGAGAGAGAGAGAGAGAACTGACTTGGAAGAGAGAAAGAGTTGAAGAATTGAAGGTGATTCATGGTGAAATTTGAAAGAAGGAAGCTAATGATGTTGCTTCTCTCTTTGTTCTGCAACAAAAAGCTTCCAATTTGTAGCCATGGCGGCGCATACACAAATAATTAAGAGACAGCAAAGAAAAGAGAGAGATTTTGATCATTTCAGATTTTGAGTTTCAGAGTCTCTCTTGTATTTATAAATGGATTTCAGGAACGCCACCGATTCTTTTTTAAAAAAATTTAATTTAAAAACAATTATTATTCATAAAAATGTAAAATTACCATATGCCCACGTTGATCATTTTTTTTTTAATTTTAAAATTTGGTTAGTAAATTAAAGAAAACAGTACTTTTTAAAATGTATATTTTAATGGCCATGACAAATATATTAAAAAAATAGTGACTAAATAAGTATAGATTTAAAAAATAAAATCATTATCAAAATAGACCTAAATATTTAATTCATTGAACAAGATGGTTGTTGAGAGTGAGTCCTTGTTGGCTAATGAATACATCTTCATTTGTCAATGAGGCCTTTTGGAAATGCCCAAAACAAAGTCATGAAAACTTATACTTAAATGGACCAAAACAAAGCCATGAGAGCTTATGACTGTTAGACAAACACGACTCTCCACGATGTTGTCTACTTTGAGCATAAGCTCTCATGGCTTTGCTTTGGCTTCCCCAAAATGCCTCATACCAATGGAGTTAGTATTCCTCACTTATAAACCCATGATCATTCCCTGAATTAGCAATATCATATCATTGTGGAGAGTATGATTCCTGTTGGTTGTAGTATAGTTACAATTTCTAGACCTAAAATTAGGTAAGAAATTATCACGAGCACAATTTTATTCCTTTATTTTTAAATTTAAGATGTTGTTAGTTTTTTATATAGAAGTTGAGATTCAAATATAAATATAACCTAGGATGATCAAATCATTGCTACTACGCATGACTGCGAGGACAACATTCCCAAAAAGAACTTGTTTCTATTGGACAGAAGCAGACAGAAGGTTTTTTGTTTGGTCTAAATCATACAGAAATAAATGTAAAATTAATTATTACCAAATTTGGGGATTTCTATTTAAAGTTACTTGTAAATGAAACATGATCTACTTATTCTATTTAAATAAAGAATAGAAGAAGTAGAAGATAGAGATTTGGTCCCGTCAATTAAATAGTGCGAAAGACAGTAGATTATACACTCCAACGCCGATCCTGCTCCATCTTAATTTGTCTCAATTAGGCAGATACACTCTAATTCCGATTCTGGTCCACCTTAATTTACCTCAATTATTAAATTGATATACACTACCTAAAGATAATGAATTTATATATATTTCACACGAAATTTGATCTTTTCGATCTTGGAAAATGAGATAAGAGATGAGAATAAAGAGGTAAACCGCTCCCACAGACATGCAACAAACTGAGAATTCCAAGGCAATTTAACTTTTGGGAGGGAGGTTTGGATGAGGTTGCAAAGAAATTTCAATACCAATAATGGATACTTCCGAGTCCAATTTGGTGACAGAGATAAGTCCTTGTCCAGTTCTTAAACGTGGATTAGAGCACTATTACAAAACCCCTCACAATTACAAAGACTTTGAAGGGTAAGTTTAAGGACCCAACAAAAATCACTTTTTGATATTAATCATGGATCAAGAACAGTGATAATTTATCAAAATATGAAATTTAATCAATAACAATTTTGAGTGTCACAACATATCAATCGTAAATTATTATTTATCAACTTAAATCTAGCTTAAGTAGTTTAAACGTACCTTCGATCGAGCGGTCTGATGTTCAAATCTTCTAACGCTACACGATGAACTGAAAAAACACATGAACACACCATTGTTAGTTCATAGTTTTTAAGAAAATATTCACAAAATCATGGGTGTAAGCTGCCACTATTCATATTACAGAGACAATAATAGAATCACGAGGAATAATCATGCTTGGCCACCAAGTATTCTGATTTTTCTCAACAAACAAACAAAGAAAAACACAATCTCACACCACTTTAGTGGTTAATTTGAGTCAATATTAATGTCTTTTAAGTCTCCTTTAGTCGATTCCGTCGGTGTCATCAACTCCCACTACTAAAGACTACATCGAAAAGAAGCATTTAAATAAATTATTAAATCTTACGTACGTATTTTATTTTAATCCCTACCATCAAATTTTTTTTTTTTATGATTAATCAGCAAGAACGTAAATGGACTAAATATATAACAACTCAAATCCATTGTTAGCAAATATTATTTGCGTTGACCTGGTACGTATCAACGTCAACCTACAATTTTAAAATACGTCTGTTAGTGAGAGGTTTACACACCTTTATAAGAAATATTTCGTTCTCCGCTCCAACTAATATGAGATCTCATAAAACATGACTTCTAATACACATTCATATAAACAAAACAGGGATCTATAGAAATTTAGACTAAAATTACTCTCTCATCCCATATTAAAAAACTAGAATAGAGTAAAAATCTAAAGACCAAATTATCAAAAACATGAGAGTTCAAGATCCCAAGTAGATGTCAAATTTGGTTAACACATTTAATGAAATATGAAGCATCTCATGCATGAATATGCTCACTTCTATCAGTATTCTATAGATCAATCAACATCGGAGGCATTTTCCCCTTTTAACCCACTACCACACCTCAAATGAACAGTGAAGGAGGACAAGCAACAATAATTTGTCCCAAAGCACTTTGGCAAATGTGCTCTTTGCTCTTCCATCCTTCCCAAACCAAAGTTTGATTCACTCATTTCTCTACATTTATAAAGTATAATTAAGCTACAAAAACTCAGAGATAACTTCTCAAACTGTAGGCTTAGAAAAACCTAAGACTTAACAAATTGGTGAGCTAAAATACGAACAAAGATCATGTATCATGTATCAAAATGAAAGGAAGATAAGAAAAGTTTCTATCAAAATGGTCTTTGTTCATTGAAGTCTACTTTAATTCTATAAGAAAGGAAAATGGTGATGAATGACTGTGAAAGTTAGGTATGAATCAGATGCAATAAAACAAAGATCAGCAAAAAGAAGATTTATTGATCTCCTCAAATCAAATAAGGCTAAACAAACCCAGAGAAAATAAATGAGGCGGAAAGAAAAACCTTCTCAATGCAAAATATGATGTGAGTTGTACTAGCAAATTTCCATTGAAGTGGAAGTTTGTCGTGATCAGTTTGTCTGTGGATGAAATTATTGTAAAATGTCTGGTGGCTTCACCAAATCATTTTCTAATTATTGAATTACTTGAAGGAAATGGAAGAGAATCAATTGGATTTGGACACAAGTCTTTGTTCGTTACTAATAATGTTAGAATAAAATATAGAAAAGAGGAACTAAAATGATGGTTTGTCCTGAAATGGTTAAAATAAAAGAATGACTTGAAGTACAATTACCTAATGGTTGAGGTAGATTTAGAAATTTATAATGGCAATAAAGATAACATCAATCAGCAAGTGTTACATTAAAGAGAAATTTTCTTTATTGGCTAAACAAAGACACGAAAATTATATTTCCCATCATACATGCCATCTTTATCACCCAACCTTTTAGAAACTTAGCTCGGTTATTTAAACCATTAAAAAAAAGAACAATAAAATATAGAAACCTTTTGGGTGGATGTACCATTCATAAACTTAAGATCAAATGTCACGTGATTATCAAATCTGACCTACATAATTGTGATCTCAAATGACCTTTATAATTTGATCACTTTTTGTCTACATTTATAGTTTGATTTGAATTATTGAAGTGTTAATTTATCTTAAATTACAAATTGGTAGATTATAAATACTACATAAATATATGGAATTAGTGAAATATATCTTCTATAATATATAATAACTTTTACAAATCATGTAACCAATCATGAATTACACACATTCGTTTGTATATTTATTATTACTAATATTATAATAATTATTATTTAGAATTTATAACATTAACCTCATTTTTATATACTTATAAAATCACGAAACAAAACATATTTAGAGGTTCCCTACCCGTCATGGGCTCAACCATGACAGTCACATCACTAAAACGTAAAAGATACTTCCACCTACTGGTCTCTAATAATGAAGAAAGGGCAAGCCATCAGCATGTGCGATCCATTCATATCTATATTTTATTCTGAGTTAAGGTAATAATAAAAATTTAAAAAAAAAAAAAAAAAAACTCAATTTTAATTCTAGACTTTCTATTTCATCAAACTACACCACAAAATTAGATAATTATTACTAATTTCAATTCTCTAACAAGTTAACTCTAAATATTATTAGAAAAAATATCCAATGCATTTAAAAAATATATATAAAGACATAGATATAAAAAAAAAATATATATACACTTTGACATAGTAGAAATTTATTTGTTAAAAACTTTATTTTAATAAAATTAATGAATTTTGGAATATTTTACTTTACTTACTACTAAAAATTAGTGGACAAATTATTGAAAATTGGTGGGTAGAAAATGGAGACACAAAATCGGACAATATCAGCTTTGCTGAAATCACTGACACAATGTGTCAGTGTTAGCTTGTGATTTCAATATTTATCAGAGGAATTTTTTTATATATTAAGAAAAGAAAACTCCTCATTTCAGAACATTGGATTTTGGACCGTCCAAAGTGCAAACAATGTGAAGGGTCCAGCATTTGTGATTGTGATTATGAATATGAATTGCTTTCGCCGTATAAGATGAGGTTTTGAAAAAGAAAAAAAAAAAAAGGAGAAAAAAATGCAACGAAAGCAGAATCAATAAAGCTTCTAGAAAAGGAAAGTACCTTTCGGCAAGTAGACAAGACTTTCTCGGTGCTTCAAACATGGCATTTGATACACAGTCCAGCCCCAGCTCCTCTTTGACAACCATGTCCGCTGAGACAAACCTGGATGGATCATATACTTAGCTTAAGCATATATCAGCCTCACTTTTTCTAGCTATATTATTATAACATTTAATGTTTTTATTTTTATCAATGGGTGGAGTTTCTGTACCATTATGAGGATTTATGACGATGGATTCAACCTTTACAACAATTTGATCTATGTGGAACCGGGAAGCTTGCTGCTTTGACGTATGTCATTCCTTGTTACATTGAAGATGCCTGATTGCTCCTCGACCTTCTTGATTAGAAGCTTCAGCAGTGGAACTTTTGACAGTGTTTTGCGTGATCCCACCATGATTAGTTTTTTCTGCAGAATTATGTTTCTATTATATATTGAATTGATAGCTTGAAAGTTGTTTGGCTCTCAAACAGCCTTTGTTATTTGAGAGATCAGTATTGAAGATGATTAAGGCGATTTCTGACCTTGGCACGAGTAATGGCCACATTAATTCTATGCCAGTCTCCAAGAAGTGAGGTAGTACAGCTCTTCGGATTTTCACTCGACCTGACAAAGGACACCAATATGCAGTCCTTGTCTCTTCCCTAGGAGAACAGAAAAAACGATTTGAAGCATAGAAGCATAATAAAATATAATAACGTATTTATGCATATTGACCAAAGAATGCAGCTTCTCATGAAAATTTTAAACGTGATTTTTGTTAGAATGAACACGACTCTCCACGATGGTTGAGCATAAGCTCTCATGGCTTTGCTTTGAACTTCCCCAAAAGGTCTCACAACAATGGAGAGTATTCCTTGATTATAATCCCACGATCATTCTCTAAATTAACTGACGTGGACTTTCATCCAACAACCATTTTAAAATCAGTCCCAACTCTATCCTCTGTAAAATAAAGAAAAGAAAAGGGACTGCCTCTAATTGAATTGGTCTACCTGGTATTTGTCAATGGTATGTATCTCCACGGAGGCTATGTTAATAGCTAGACGAATGATGCTTGCCTGGGAGTTATAAGGAGTAATGATGCCAACGTCATTCCCGTTAATTCCACCATCAAGCAATCCCTTCGTCACCTGTAAAATTAAGAAAATAGAGATCAATGCCAAGAGGTAAAATTTCATGTAGCTTTCCCTACTCCAATTACCAAAGTTTTTTTTTAAGAAAAAAGTAGGAATCTACTTAATGATAAGAAGTATAAGAGACATATCAAAGCGAAGATTGCACCTCTGCTAATATGTTAGCTTCAATTGGGTTGTTCACAATCTTGTGATCTCTTGTCTCGTAAGCAGGTAATAAATCTACAGGTATGAACGTGAGTCAGATAACAAACAAAAACCACTGATAAAACAAAACTGACTACCGAATTTAGAAAGCGAAAATGATATTCGAGAACCTGTACAAACAAAGATAACTGGTTTGCATGGGTTTACAACCTGAAACCACGAATAGGAAGTGTGTTAGTTTTAGTTGAGACAAGGAAGTTTTAGAAAGGACCAGAATTTTTTAATGTCATTAGAAATCCAAAGTTCCATGCATCTAATAAACCGCGACTTATATGAACATACACTTGATTTTATGAAATGACCACACAAAATTTTCCCTTTCCCAGTACTACTTAAGTAGCTATTCTGGAAAAAGTAAATAAAACAGAAAATAAGTTGGATGCGTTGAAGCTAAATAAATCTAAAGGTGAAAATTATTTTGATTGAAAAAAATCTGAAGTAATGAAATTTATTGTGCAATCGCCCACAAATGAGGAAATAAATTGTGGTTGGATGAATAGCTCATTGCTAGCCCTACGAAAAGATGACCCTTAAAATAAGGAAAAAAAGAACAAAGAGCAAAAACAAAACCAAACAGAAGTAGGCAAGTAGTAGTAATTTGGAGTCTGCCAACTGGGTCTTCACATGAAACACTAGCGAAGTTCTGTTTTGAGGGTTAACCCAATTGATAAATATGATAGTAAGATGAAAAGTTAAAAAAGATCACTAACCTCCTTGAGCCAAGATGAAGACAACTTTAAACCTGAAAATTCAAGCTTTGCGTTTGCAGTTTCTTCAGAACCACAACGCAATCTGTCTCCATATATCAAGGCATTTGATAATTCCATAATGTCGCGGCACATGCGATACTGCACTCAAAGAAACCTAGTAAATGGATATCGGCAGCATCGTCTGAAGTGATTGACTTGACTACAGATTAATTCTAGTAGAAAAAAAGAAACCTGGCTTTGTAAGGCGGAAATGGCTTGAGGATGTGCTTCTGAAAGCCTACAAAATAAGCTTATCCCCAGTCCATTTTCTTGAGCCTCTGTACTCTAGAAAGGAATGACGATGACTTCAAAAAGTGCATCATAGAAAGAAAAAGAAAAAAAAGATAATCCAAATGACTAGGCATGATATACACCTGAACAAGAGGAGGTAGCTGATAATGATCGCCAACAAGGACAAATGTTGAAGCAAACATCAAAGGTCCAAGGGAAACCTTAGGGGTAGATATAAAAATTAAATAAGCACTGATATTCCTCATTTCAATAACTCTTGATTAACATCATACGAACAACTTCATTAATAGCAAACGTTAGAGAATAAAGAATAATTGTAGAGAATGAATATTAGAAACTCAGTTCAACTTAATGAAGGTGTAACTAAAGCAAATGATTATCTTCTCCTACATGTCTCATACTTTTTTTCATCGAGTTCCAACATACTCAAGTCTTTCTACCTCATAAGTTCATGATCCTCTTCAAACAACGTAACAAAACCTCCTAAAAACAAAAATGTTACAAAAATCTTCAATTTGTAAAATAAATTTAAGTGTTCGACCATGCATACACTGGCTTCTAATGTTATCATTTAGATCTCTTTCCAATCTCTTGAAATACAAGAAGATGCTACCTTCTATCAGTGAACTTGTTTGTGAGATGCTAGTACTATAGAAATGAAGGATGCCTAATTCTCTTATTATTTACCTATTAAACAGAACAAGCGCTAACTAATCCCAAAAACATTTGATAATCAACGGGCATCATATCATCAGACTACCAAAATAAACTTTGCAACAAACAACGTTCCATCAAGTTCTACATACTGGAAGGGTGGTCTGTCCAGCTTCATCCATTATGCATATATCAAATTTTTTATTGACGAGTAAGGGACTAGTTATCCCCAAACAAGTGACTGCAACAACTTTCACTTGGTCCAATCTCATTCTGATGTCTTCCACACTTTGTATGTTCAACTCTGTCAAAGAAACTCTACTAGTTAAATAAAGAAAAGCAAGTATCCAGATCCTAAGGAGACTGCATAATAGGAAAAATCAGACCCGAAAAGCAATGGCTGCGGATGTCTTCATGCACTGCATTAATTCTTCCAATCCGTATAAAATCAATGTTCTGCAGTTTGTGAGTGACAGATGAACAAGAGTAAGCCAGGTCAAACTATATCTTTTTAAGTGATTAGATGACTAAAGATGAGTAGGAATTGGATATAAACTTACGATACATGCACATGAAATTTAAGGTTACAAAATCCTTTTACAAACTACACACCAACATGCATAATGTTAAATCAGACCTCACAAAAACATAAGCGAAAGCAAAGGAGCCACACGCACACAAAATAAATAAATAAACAAATAAAAAAATAAATGCGACTTATTCAGTTGTGGTATGTAAGGGACAATCTTATTAGCTTTGTTCCAACTGTTCTAATACAATAAAAAATAAAAAATAAATCTTTTAGCGTTGCACTCCTACAAATTTTATCTTGTAATTTATGTTAAAATTCCCATTCTTGGCCTAGTAAATGTCATTTAGTGGAAACTTAAAGATCATCATCCAAGTATTACCAACGTAATGAGCACTTGAAAGAAAAGATAGCAACAAAGTTCAAGCGTGTTAATGAATTGTGCACTGTATCAAATGTATATTATGAGGGCCAATCCTGTCTTAGTAGGATGATTTGTAATCGTAAAATTAAAAATAGAAAAAAGAGATCAGTGAGAATACACATAAAAATAGGCTTCCCAGATTTTTCATTCTATCGATTTTCAAAATATGCCAACAATTCTAACGACCTTAAAATTGAAAATTTTTTCATGCTCTCTCTCCCTCTTTTCCTTTTGAGAGAAATAATGAACAGACCTTGAAAGATAGAAAATTGCAGAAACAGTTACCTGAGATTTCAGTTTGATAAGTAAATTATCAACAGCAGTGTTTGTGTAAGACGTGAGCAAAATGGATACACCTCTCATCAACAGTGCTTTCACGGCATGAACCATTGTGGATGTCTTGCCTGTTCCAGGCATTCCCAGAATCAGAGCATAATCCTTTGCTGTAAGTATCTACAATGACCATGGAACAATTTCAAGTCAGAATAGCTCATCTTTCATGAAAAAAAAAAAAAACAAAACAAAACAAAACAAAAAAAAAAAAAAAAAAAAA